GATTTACCATAGCCATAATGCCATTTACTATATTCTGGCTCTGTTTTCGCTCACCTTGAGGTTTTCCTACATTTTCCACTGTATATTCTATGATAAAAAAAAATATCAAAACTCCCAGAAGAAATAGTCACTTAGCACCTGTCTGAATGTTTTTGTCAGAATGTGTGAATGCAACACACTTGGCTTCTTGTTCGCATGCTGAGTTCTACTGTACAGGTGATTGCAAAATGCTTATACCAAATCACATTTAGATACCAGTAGCAGTTAAAAATAAATGTAATGGTTTATAATCACGAACTACAAACTTTTTCAATATCTGCCTTGAGTTCAGTTTTAAATATTGTAATTTTGATCAAAGATAGATTGTATTTTTTACTTTCAATCTTTTGAATTAGTTGTATGATGTACAAAAGTAGAAAAAAGAGTCATTCAGTGAGACCAGAACATAGTACAATGGTAAAAAAAAAAAACTGTTGTGTGGGGCCAGGGCCCTGGTATACATACAGGTAGTGTAAAAGCAGCAATAACTACAAACTGACATAAGCAATCAAACAAACACACATTACGTTAACAAGGCAGAAACCTCCTACATGAGGAGAGATACTTGTCAGGGCTAGCTGCGGTCCTGTGTTTGAAGTCCAGGCCGAGGACCCAAAATGTAGCTTGGCTTGGTCCCTTGTACCAAACTAGTATAGTCCAAGAAGAACAAGAGAAGAATAAACAGAAAACAAGAGAAAGGAGAAAAGGAGGAGGATGAAAACCCGGAGGGGGGAGAGAGATGTGGCTCCCATTTGGAGGCTAGAGGAAAAGCATTACAGATCCACATGAACATATTTTGCCCAAGGTTCGCATGTTGCCTCAAATCACTTGACAGTATCAGTGAGTACACTAGTAAGTTGTTCATTCAACATTATCCAGGAGACTTTACGCCTATACAGTGACAAAAAAAAAAAAGGGTTTTTGCTAAGAGTGAGCTATCGTGAGCCGCTAGAAACATGAAAAAGATCAGCTTTCTTGTGGAGCGAGGCAGGTCCTTCACTGGCTCATTCAAGAGTGCAATTTGGGGCGACTGAGAAACCGGAGTCCCAGTGAGTTTACGAATCAGAGCAAACACTCTATTCCAGAAGCCCGTAGTTTCGGACACTACCACCAGACATGATACAACGTACCCAGTAACTGACAACCTTGAAAGCTGAGGTGCTAGGAAGTCGGATACAACTTTGAAAGCCGAGCAGGAACCATATACCATCTGGTCATCTCCTTTACATTTGCTTCCACCAGGGAGATATTAAGAATTCCTTTATAGGCTAGGTGGAAAGTGGAATGCCAATGCTCGATATCTTTCTCAGAAGTGAGATTCGAGTCCAGGTCCTCATATAGGGAAAATTTATTAGTGGAGGTAAGCAGCAGGCTATAAATTGTCAATATCCTTCTCCTATTGCCTGCCTCCCATGTGCATCAGGATTCATAAGTAGTGACTGTGGGATCATCTATAACCACAGGGCCTAAAGAATGCAAAAAGTGTGCAATTTGAAGAAAATAGAATGTCTCAGAAGGGGGCATTTTTAATCTAGACCGACAATGTTGTAGAGTGAAAGGACCCCTGGGAGTGAGAAAGTGGCCTATTCGGAAAAGACCCTCATTAAGTCACCACTGGAAGGCTTCAGAGTCCAGACCCGGGGGAAATTTTGTATTATTAAGAAGATGGGATAAAGGTTTGAAGGGGGAGATCAAATTTGGAATATTTCGCACTGTATCCCACACACTCACAGTTTGATAGGGTGAGGACTAGGATTGGCATCCGCTGTCTCCGTGGCTGCCATTTTAAAAAATCTAGGGGAACTGACTTACCGGCCATTTGTTCCATAGATATCCAGTCTGGTTTTTCAGTTGTTACCGCTGAAAGTTGAGCCATTGAGAAGTTTGATAATAGCACAGCAAATTGAGGAGACCCAACCCCCCAGCCATTTTATGTGCAAAGAGAATCTTTCCCTTACCATTCCAGGCGAAACAAATGAGTTTGGCTTTGAAAATAGCTAATTCCAAAGGGACTATAGCAATCGTAATGAGCGGAAATAATATAAAATGCGTAGCAGTAGAGTAATTTTAACCCAATGGGTCCTGCCTAACCAGGATAGATCATGAATTGCCCAAACCCGTAAATCCTCTTCTAGCTTTTTAAATGATGGGGGATGGTTGACCTTGTATAGAGAGGATAAGGAGGGTGTCAAACAGATTCCTAGTTAGGGGACAAAGTCCGAACTCCAGGAGAAGGAAAACGCCTCCTTCAATCTGGCTACCAGGGACAAAGGTAGGTTAATATTCATGGCCACCAATTTAGATTTATTGACCTGCAAGCCTGAGACATGTCCAAATACCTGAAGAGTCTTGAGAAGATTAGGGAGTGAAATCAAAGATGAGGTTATTAATAGCAACAAATGATCTGCAAATAAGACACATTTATGAGGGTGCCCACCGATAGATTGTATTTTTAAATCATTTTTATGCACCTTATTGATTATGCATACAGTGTATATAACCAGTGGAATGTATCCCTGCCCCAGAGGAGTTTTCAGTCTTATATCCCTTATCACACACAACACACATTCTAGAGTTAGTTTTGGCAGAACCTAAAAGCTCTAACAGCTTTCCAGCCATGTCGCTGCCCACTTATTCATCTTTCCTGTCCAGCCATTTTATCATGTTTCTTATTTCCATTTACAGGTATAAGCTGATAAGTTAGCTACCGTTATCGCTGAACATGGTGTGCTTTTCTTTGGATACTTCCCAGATGCATTATTAAGCATGAATAGTATAATAATGTCAAACAAACTATTCTTCCTATTACTTAAGATGCATTCTAAAGGGTGTTGACAGCAAACCCTAACCATGCAGAGTTTAAAGCTTTCATCTTTTCTGCTTGATGTGCTGGGATATGATTAGCAATGAGGAAAGACCAGAGAAGTGCAGAGCTGGCAGCCCTTATTACCATGTAATACATTATCTCTTGTACACAGCCAGAAAGATTAGAAGCCTCATGCTGGAGAGTGAGAATGCTGTGTGATAAGTGCTGGGGTTATTCTGAGCACGCCTTATAAACTGCTAGCTGCAAGAAAAAGTCAGACAACTGGCAAATGGACTAGAGATGCACAAAAGGAATTATGAAGCCATTGTTTTTTAAAATATCCTAAGAAAATAGACCTATTGTAAAGACACATGAATATCTTAAATACAATTATATGTATTATAATCTTTCCTTGACACAACTATACATTTTTTGTGTCATGCATATATACTTTGGACCACCAAGTAATGGTTATAGATTGGTTAGACTGAGAGCAATATCAAAGTCTAAGTTTCCTGTTGCCTGTGATGCTAAAGGATTCAGTAAATGAAAGATGCTGATTTTCAATCGTTACAATTCTATCCCTTGTCAACTCAGCATAAATAAAATAATAAAGTGCTTTAATTCTGACCAAGACTGTCCATTAGGACAAGACTGTCCTAATGACTGTCCCTAGATGAGACACTAGCAAAGTTATGATAGTACCTTCCTAAATTCTAAAAATGTTGCGAACTTTAATATCACAAAATATATAATTCATGCTAGTCTGTTGAGGAAATTTATAATGCCTCCATGGTGTGTTTCTGTGAAAGTACACCACAGGTTGTCAGTAGCATTCCAAGTCACTACTAAAGCGAGTTCCGATTATATCAATCATAGTATTATAGCTTATATTGTCAGTATAATTGTACGTTGGTTTGCTTTTCTGGAGATAAATATTTGAGTTGGGCCCTGTAAAATCCTTGTTGTTTAAAGCAGTACTGCTGCTAAGAAAAATTGGCAAGCAAGAATGCCTCCTGCAAAAGAATATAGTAAATACTCACCTCTCCCACTGCCCACATCATTGATCTTTGCTAGGGATGAGCTTAAAGTTCAGGTTGATCATGATTCTACCCAATTCCAACCTGAATCCAACCCAACCCAATATAAATGAATAGATGGATTAGCTACCAGCTACAGAGCTACCACCAGTAAAGGAATTAATATGAAACGTATGATGCAGCGCTATGGAATATTAATAACAGACAAAATGCTAATAAAAGAGTGACAATAGTGAATACACAAAGAGACAATATATGTGAGGCATTGTGAAAATCTCTATAGTGAATCTTTGTCAATAAGTGTCATGCTGAATGACAGCGAAAAAAAGTGATAAAAAAAAACACTGATAATGGTGACAGTAATGAAAAGTCCAAACATCAGTATAAATAAAGTCATTCAAATGAAATATCACAAAAAGTCCAAAATTGTATCTGTGATATCAGGTGAAAGTGACTCCGTGATGAAATTGCTGCTCTTAAATGCACTCACCAGAAGCGCATATTAGATGCGCATTATGGTACAACACAGCTCCTCCGCAAGTAAGGAAACATCACCAGATAAGTATTCAAGTATGGAGATGAAACAGCACTGGCCTCACACTATTAAGGAATGACTCCAGCAGAACACATCCACCATAGGCAAAACCAGCAAAAACTCAGCCCAACTTGAAGGAAAAAGCTCGCTCAATGAGCCACAGAAGAAAGGGAGCACTTATAGTGCAGTATGTTTATTAACCACCTTCCGCCCGCCCTATAGTCCAATGACGGGCACAAGGTGGTTTTCTCGTTCTGATAGGACATCATATGACGTCCTACCATTCTCACTGCGCATGCGCGGCTCAGGGAGAGCACAGCGCGGCGATCGCCGGTCCGCTGTGTTCCTCGGACACAGCGGATCACGGAAAGAGCCGAAGATGTCGGCTCGGTCATGTGATCAGCTGTGTCCAATCACAGCTGATCACATGTAAACACAGAAATGCCAGATATCGGCATTTCTCTCCTCTCGAGCTGTCATGCTGACAGCTCGAGAGGAGAGGAGAGCCGGTAATCGGCTTTCCGTGGAGGGGACATGTACACTGATCATCAGGGCACTGATGATCAGTGTGCCCTGATGATCAGTGTGGCCCCAGAAGTGCCACCTGTCAGTGCTCATCAGTGCCAGTGCCCATCAGTGCCACGTGCCAGTGCCCAATCAATGCCACATATCAGTGCATACCTGCGCACATCAATGCCACATATCCGTGCCCATATGAGCTGCCTTTCAATGTCACCCATCAGTGCCAGTCAGTGCCACCTATCAGTGTCACCTATCAGTGCCAGTCAGTGCCACCTAACAGTGCCAGTCAGTGCCGCCTATCAGTGCCAGTCAGTGCTGCCTATCAGTGCCATATATCAGTGTCGTGTATCAGTGCTGCCTTTCAGTGCCCATCAGTGATGCCTGTCAAGCCCATCAGTGCAACCTACCAGTGCCCATCAGTGCCACCTATCAGTGTCCATCAGTGCAGCCTATCAATGCCCATCACTGCAGCCTCATTAGCGCACATCAGTGAAGGAGAAAAATAACTTATTTACAAAATTGTATAACAAAAACTAAGAAAAAACTTTTTTTTTTTTTCAAAATTTTCAGTGGTTTAAGAAAAAATAAAAATCCCAGAGGTGATTAAATACCACCAAAAGAAAGCTCTGTCTCAAAAAAATTATAAAAATTTCATATGGGTACAATGTTGCATGACCGCGCAATTGTCATTCAAAGTGTGACAGCACTGAAAGCTGGAAATTGGCCTGGGCAGGAAGGGGGTATAAGTGCCCTGTAGGCTAGAGGTTAAATAAGTAAAAAACATCAACGTGGGAAACAAATGGCAAAAACACTCACAAAGATGAGTGAGGACACGGCAGCGTGACGTCAGTACAACAGGCTTCTCCCTTAACATACTGCACTATAAGCTCTGATGGGGACACAGATGTGTGGAAGGCCCTGATGGGGTCAGAGATGTGTGGAAGACCCTGATGGGGACACAGATATGCAGAAAGGCTCTGATGGCACAGATGTGTGGAAAGGCTCTGATGGAGACACAGATGTGTGGAAAGGCTCTGATGGAGACACAGATGTGTGGAAAGGCCCTGATGGAGACACAGATGTGTGGAAAGGCCCTGTTGGGGACACAGATATGCAGAAAGGCTCTGATGGAGACACAGATGTGTGGAAAGGCTCTGATGGAGACACAGATGTGTGGAAAGGTTCTGCTGAGGGCACAGATGTGTGGAAAGGCTCTGATGGGGACACCGATGTGTGGAAAGGCTCTGATGGAGACACAGATGTGTGGAAAGGCTCTGCTGGGGGCACAGATGTGTGGAAAGGCTCTGATGGGGACACAGATATGCAGAAAGTCTCTGATGGGATTATTTAAAATGTATTCATTCATTTATAAATACCGTAACTGATTTTTTCGGCCTGTCAATATTGGTAAAATCTAGAATGTGGCCCTCTGTTTGCAGACCCTTAATTTAGATAATGAAATTGAATACATCATGGCAATTCGATTTGCCATTTGTTCCAGTATATCACCTTTATCTGTAGGCACTATTTGAATCAAGATCTAATGTTTGCTTGTTCAAATATGTTGAAAATATGTTGAATATGTTTTCACATGATTGTGTGTGTGTGTGTGTATATATGTATGTGTGTGTATGTATATATGTATGTATATATATATATATATATATATATATATATATAGAAAGAAAGAAAGAAATAGATATATAGATAGATACTGTACACTTGCTGTAAATAAGTTCCTCGCCTCCATAAAGTGGATGTCTAGTGTCTGTGGAAGTACAAACTATCTGGCATTACTGAAAGGAATTTCATGAATCATGTAGCTATGACTGTGCGTATGAATCAGCTAATCAAAACCAAAGAATTAGTTTGTGTACCAGTAGCAAAATCAGGATGGTAATTAGTGGAACATTAGTTGGCTTTTCTTCTCGGATGAAAGTAATTGACATTAAATAACCAGTCAAATAAGTAATAAGAAGCTCTCTGATAGCCACTGGTTACTTAATGCGTGTATATCAGCATCTGTTTAAGAAAAAAAATATATAATATTGCAGATGGCAATACCTTATTGGATCATAAATTCCAGAAATATAAATATATAAATTAACTCCATGTAAACAGGTGGAACTTCACCTTCTAAGTCAACACTGACTATGTTTAATCCCTTTGCTGCTAGCATTGGGAAATACATACAAAGTATATCCTGTTTATTTTTTTAAACTTGTTTTTCTACATTTCTTCCTGGCTTTCATGCCTAGGCAAATTATGTCATACATCCCAAGGGTCTTCAGGAGGGGAGGAGGGGTTTTCTTAGTTAAGCACACCCTCCTGCCTGTATTCCTGAGCTAAGGGCAGATAGATTCTAGGAAATAAATGCTACATGAATTATATGTGCTTACTCAAGATGGCCATGACCAGAAATGGTAGGGGGTGTTTTTCAATGTGAATTTTCAGCAAAACGAACCATGGAGACATAGATGGATAGGTGAGTTTGCTTTAAGTATTAAAAATGAGTTTTTAATAAAAAATAAAAGTGTTTTTGGTTTGTGGTGCTCAGATGCAGTGGCATTCTGCTTTAACTTAAGGCAAAACTTTATTTTTAGTTTTGGAGAGGGATTAGAACACCTGTCAGGTTTTCGTTGCTGTCTGTGTCCCCATTAGGGAGATTCACCATCTCAATTTGTTCTGTTTATTGTTATCACCAAGATAATCCAAAGAAAATTCCAAATTTTGTCACCAGAACAGGCTTAGAGGGGAAATCTTCCACTGGTCTTGGTGACCCTGGTGTAGTAAAGTAAAAAAAAAAAAAATAACAACAGAAAGTTAAAAAAAAATAAATAATAATATAATATAATAATATAACAAAAAAAAAAAAACTTACTGTCCCAGCCCCTTTGTACATGCATAAAAGACTACATGTACATTCTCATAAAAATGAAATAATGGCTTTGCTAAAAAAGTGGTTGAGAAGGTCCACATTGGTAGCCTCCCTAATTCTCTAGGTACAGACTTAAATTTAGTTACAGGTACAGACTAAATTTACCTTTAACATAAAAAAAATGCACATTTTTTGCAGGTTAAAAAAGTGCATTTATTGGTTTTTTTTTATAGAAGCCTGCAAAGTACTGCACCCGCGATTAATAGATTGTGAGTTCCAGTGTCAGGCTCCTGCACTCTTCCCCCCTCCAGCTTTTTGACCATACCTCTCTATGGGCTTTTAGTTTGAAAGCTAGAGGGAGTGTGAATGGATGATAAGGGCACTGATCAGACTGCTTGCAGTCCATTAAAGCAACAAGTCTGTCTGCTGCAGTGGAAGAAGGGACTTGTAGTTTATTCATTCACAGATCTCTGCAAATGAATGATGTAGAAGTGTTGGCAAAACCCCGCACAGCCTTGCCGATTTTTAAAATGTTACAGCAGCTGTGGGTAAGAGGAACCCCCACCTGCTGTCACAGGGAAGAAGGAGAGGGTACTGAACATTTTACACCTGAAGTAAGGTATTATAATATGTAGCATATTCAAAAGGTGAATTTCTCCCTTTAAATAACAGTTCAATACAACATTTGGTAAATCACACTATGCAGGGAATACAGAGATACCAGCAGTATTCTCATGTATTGCCATTGTAAATCAATTGCAGTTCAAGAGAATATAGTAGTCTCAATCTGACTCACTGATTTCTGTCTTTGAATTAATGGAGAAATCAAGGCAGGGAATCTGTTCCTTATTTTTCTTGAAGTTTTGGGTGACCATCAGTGGCTGAAGAAACTGTATGAAGCTATAACCACTAATTGAACTTTCCCCTGAAATAACAATGTAACATAAAAGCAAACTTTTAATTCACTTTTGGAATTGTTTCTGTTTAATCTGTGTATTTGTTCAGAGATGGCTTTAAATATGAAGTCCAGAATTGTATGAAACGGTTGTATTTACGGAGTAAACGTGATACTACAAATGACGCTTAAGTGATAATACCTGAAAATGAACTAGAAAGAGACTTGTTAGCTGTGGGGATGTCTGACTGGGATGTGACGGTAGAATACAGATTGTCAGAACTGCGGAGTGTGCTCAGAATTTTAAACAGGCTTCTTTAGCTGTCAGGCTTTGCTTTCTAGAGAAGAATCAGGGCTGCAACAAACACCATGATGATAAAATTATGTGTTCTACCAGAATTTCCTAAATATATATGAGATATTTAATTAGTCCATTTATAAAATACACAGCACATCTATTTATATAAATTATGTTTATATAGCCATTACATTTTCAGATTAATGAACAGCTCCTGGAAATATTGATGGTTGAACACACCCTAAAAAAAATATACGAGGGATTATCCTGTCATTTTTTTTTTTTTTTTTTGGTGCTGTAGTTTAGTACTTATTTGGGCTGTCTGTCATGTAGATGGTGTGAAGCACTTGCACATCTGTATATGAAATGTAATCACAAATATGATACACAACAAGCCTGTAGACACACTTCAAAAACCAGTAACAAGTCATTTTAAACTGAAATGCTAAGTTCTCAGTTACATTTCTGCTTTGCAAATGCATATATTTTTATGTGCATATTAAATCTTAAAATGCATCCATTTTTATTTACTTACTTAGAAGGAATCAGTCTGCAAAAAAGGCATTTTTAAAGAAACTAAATCTCTCCTCTAGAGTCGTTATAAAAATGCAGCCTTACTTCTCAGGGAGATGCATGTGCTGGTAGTCTTTTGTATTCTATCCCACACCGCAGTCCAGATTGACCCATGTCCAGGGTCAAGCTGCAGAACCCCTCAAGGATGCTGAAGGGGCTTTGCAGCTTGACCCTGGACATTGATCCAGGGTCAAGCTCAAGGCTGATACTGACAATCTGTCCACGTACCTGGAAGAGGATAAAAATTCAATTAAAGAAGCTTGACGACACCTTTTGTGATATAAAATGTCTTTAGTATCTGCAAAAACATTGAGTTCAGGCATGATATTTCAACTTTATAGTTCTGCTCTGACAGGGAGAGACTACAAGGAAGGAAATAAAAATCAAGTAATCCCTGAGAGATAAAACTGAACTATTCTTACAATTCAAGAATGGAGAAAATTACATATGCCCTTTTATACATACAGTATGTCCATTGGTTTTTCTTTACGCGTGTTATGTAATGTTGTGTTGGGATGCGTTTTTGCTGTGTTTACACTCACGTTTATGTAAGCATTTCCTCTATGTGATTTCTCAAGGGACTAGAATACTTCTTTTCCTCTGTGTGTGGATACATGCATTAAACTGCTTGTTGAATGTTTTACATACATTATGCTTTGCCTCTGTAAATGCTGTGCTTTGAGAAACTTACTAAAAAACCCAGCAAGCAATGTTTTTGAAATGTACACCACTCCAAATGCAAAGGAGTAAATGGGTCCTAACTGAATACTTATTGATGGTACACTACAATAGATTACATCTAAGTGAACTGATCATCTGCTAAAAGCACTTTAATACATTTCCGTGTATGTAAAACTTTGTTACTGCATTAATGCAGAATACT